CTTGCTCAAAGACCTCTGCTGAGAGAGAACCCAATACCTCCCAGCATAGCCCATTCTACTCTTTGATACCCCTACTGATAGGAAGTTTTCCCTTGCATCAAGCCTAAAGCTTTATCTTTGTAAATATTGCACACATGTGTAGAATGTGTGTTTACCATTGGAGGACAAGGGGTGTTGATCATAATGGGTGCGGGCATTGGTCTGAGCCAGTATTCATGTCTGGTGAGTATAAGCAGGGGGGCTGCTCCCTCCTGGGGCATGCAGAGCTGGGGAGAGAGGGAGGCTGGGCTGGTTGTGTCTGGAGAGTGGCAGCCCTGATATTTATGACTATGATGGTCCTTCTCTAGTGGGCCTGCTTTGGAACATAAATAAACTTAATGGGCTTCAAGTTATTGTGACAACTGAGTTTAAACCCTGGTCTGTGGCTCAGGGCCACGAAACTCCCTCCCCAGAAATGCTGCTAGCTCAGCCTGATCTCCAGGGCAACACCTCATTCTTCAACATAATGACACCATTGACTCAGTGGGACCATATACAGAGACCTGGGCTGGGTGCTTGGGGGATACAGGAGAAGGAGGAAGCAGGGTCTCTGCTGTTGGGAATCTGGCCTGATGGAGGAGGTAAGGGCTGATTAGGGAGTTACAGGAGACTGTTTCCATTGGTCATTCAATCTGTTATCCTACCATTTACTCCCTAAAGTTGCTGCTGTGACCCAGAGTTATGAACAGCCAAAGACTTTTAACCAGATCCTGGGAGAAACAGGAAAATATCCACACTAGTTGGGAGGTTAAGCTGTTATCCAGGTCACCGAAGTAGTGTAGACCAGTTAGAGAGACTTAGAACTGGAATTTGTTCTTTCTCCTTTCTTGGCAGGGAATTATTAGTACGTCTGCTGTTAGATCCAGGATTCTTGGTGATTACTTGTGGGGTGCATTTTTGTGAGTTTCTCTCATCGTGGGTATTGCCTAGAGCCTTGTAGTGTTGGATTTCTGTTCCCTTCCCTCCTCCCAGCTAAGACCTCACCTCCAGGGACAGGAGGAGACAGAGACAAGGTACGGGAAAAACCTCATTCCCTTAGAGAAGTCTTAGCAAGGGAAGATATATGGCTCACCCTTCTTGGTTATGCCCCTATAGCGCCGTTCGGAGTAATTTTTTATTTTTATTTTTAATGGATTCCCTCCTTGCCTACACAGACAGAGCAGTAAAGTTTGCTAATGGTCAACCTGGATCATTCTGACCCTAAAGCAGTTTAAATTTATTATTCTTATTTTTACATGTATCCTTTGGCTTGGGCTAGGTGGCCTCTGAGGTCTTTCCCAGCTCTTAGGTCTGGGACTCAGTGGATTGATTTGGTTGTTTCCACCAAGCATATTAATCATATTATTTTCAAATCTCTTTGTGCCCTGTCTCTGTAGACACAACCACAGCCACGTTCGTCCAGCTCACACATGGTGCACGCAGAATTCTTTTCTTTACTTTTCCCATTATTTTCATCCTTTTATGTTATTCCCATACTTCAGTGGTCTGGAGGGAAGTTGAATGTTTGCTGTTCTGGGATCATTTGAAGCCGGGCATGCAAAAAGTACTGAGGCACTTTCAAGTCTGCCTGTAGGAAATCTGTCTTGGCAACCAGACAACTAGAATTAGTTATTAAAGGCATGTCAAATGAATAAAGACACCTCTGTAAGGAAAACCGCAAGAGCATTTACTTTTTCTAATATGAATAGAGAGCTAATAGCAAATCACCTTTAATTTTCCACTCTTCCTTTGCCTTTTGGCTCGTAGGTCAAATCCAATAAACAGAGATACAATTGAAAATCTTTTCAGCTATCACAGCACAGCCCATATGCCCACTGCAGATGTGTACTAAAGAGCAATGCCTGGAATTTAAAGGAGAGCTTTCAATCTGGCGTGGCTCTTTTCTCCTGCCCTGGAAGTCAGAGTCAGAGCCTACTATGCTATTCTGGAACACAGGAAGCAGTGAGACAAATGTCTTGCCCAGGGAACTAAGCCATACTAAGGAAGAGATGCAAAATATAAGTTAACTCCATTTGGCTGTTGCCATTTACTGTGAAAATAAGAGGGGTGTAAAAACACCAAGAATGCTCTAATCGTGTTAACGTTGGTTTTATGTCCCTTCATATCTTTTTCTTTCAAACTTATTTATTTATTTTTATGACATCTGCTATCCTTCTCTCCTACTCTTTCTCTCATCCCCATTGAGAAATTTAAAAAAAAAAAGGAAAGGAAAGCCCTCATAACAAGTCACATTATATTGTGAGGATCAAATGAGATGTTTATGAAAGTGCTTTGGAAACTATCAAGTGTGATATAGATGTAAGGTATTATTATAGTCACTGGATCTGACCCCAAAATCACTATAGAACCAGTAATTCATCCATCCACTTCACTATGACCAGAATTCACTGTCAACGTAGATTAGTGGGCACTGGGTTTGAGGATCTGGTGTGCTGACAAGTTGACTAAATGCTATAGAAAATGAGTCCTTTCACTGAGTATGGGGTCTGGGTGCCTGGCTGGGAACCCTTCTGTGATGCAGGTAAGTCCTATATCCTCCATGGTGAAAACTCAAAGCTAGGGCCAGGGGAAATGAAGGCAGTGCTGCAAAGCTGTCTTCTAGAGGTGGCGGCCCCTGTGTGCCTAGCTCCAGCTACCCTGGAATCATGGTTTCCCATTTGGGATCTGACGTGAGCACTGGTTTTAGAGCTGGAAGACCTTGGTTTGAATCCTGGATCTGCCACTAACCCCACTCCCATCAAATCACTTGTATATATTTCATATATACTTATGTGTGTATGTATTGTTTGCCCCGTAGAATGTCAGATCTCTGAGAGCGAGGGCTGTTTCATTTTTGTCAATGTATCCCCAGAATCCAGCACAGTGTCTGGTACATTTTCTTTTTTGAACCTGATGTGTGGGTTCATTGCCAGATGGAGGTCCCAGTGCCCAAACTCCCTCTACTAACATAGATCTGCAAATGCTCTGTAACTTAAGGTTTTAGGAAGTTGCCTGGGGTCTAGTAATCCGATGCTGACATGTCAAGTGACCCATAGCTAGTGTGAATCAGAAGTAGGACTTGAACCTGGATCTTCTTGACTCTGAGGCCAGCTCTCTACCCACTGTGGCCTCTTCTGGCCTGGCACATAGTAGTAGGTAGTTAATAAATACTTATTGATCAGTTGATAGCTAGCCATGGCCAGAAAGGTCAGCTGTAGGAGGTAGCCCTTGAGCTGAACCTTAAAGGGAACTAAGGATTCCAAGAGACAGAGGTGAGCAGCCAGAGCATTTCAAGCCGGGCAAAGGCATGAAGGTAGGAAATGGAATGTTGTATACGAGGTACAGCAAGCAGACAAGTTTGGCTGGAACATATAGTGCATGAGGGAAGAGTAATGTGAAGTTGAGTCTAGACAGGTTGGAGCCAAATTATGAAAAGCTTAAAGTGCCAAATAGAGGACTTTGTATTTTGTCTTAGAAGCAAAAAAAGAGGGGACCTCTGAAGTTTCTTAAGCAGGAAGGTAACTTGGTCAGACTGTTTTTTTCTTTTTTTAAAAATTAATTAATTAATTTATAGTTTTCAACATTCACTTCTATAAGATGTTGAATTTTACATTTTCTCCCCCTCTTCCCCCCCCTTTCCCCAAGACAGCATGCAATCTGATATAGGCTCTACACATACATTCATATTAAACATATCTTCACATTAGTCGTGTTCTAAAGAAGAATTAGAACCAATAGGAGGAACCACGAGAAAGAAGAAACAACAATAACAACAACAACAAAGAGAGCAAATAGTATGCTTCCATCTATATTCAGACTCCCAAGTTCTTTCTCTGGATGTGGACAGCATTTTCAATCATGAGTTTTTTGGTATTGTCTTAGATCCTTGCATTGCTGAGAAGAGCTAACTCTATCAAAGTCAGTCATCTCACAATGTGGCTGTTACTGTGTACAATGTTCTCCTGATTCTGCTCACTTCACTCAGCATCAGTTCATAGAAGTCTTTCCAGGTTTTTCTGAAGTCCACCTGCTCACTATTTCTTACAGCACAACAGTATTCCATTACATTCATATACCACAACTTGTTCAACCATTCCCCAGTTGATGGGCATCCCCTCAATTTCCAATTCTTGGCCACCACAAAAAGAATGGCTACAAATATTTTTGTTCATGTGGGTCCTTTGCCCATTTTTATGATCTCTTTGGGATATAGACCTAGAAGCGGTAGGTCAGACTTTTACTTTAGGAATATCAGCTTGGCAGCTCTGCGGAGAATCTATTGGAAGGGGAAGAGACTAAAGGCAGAGAAAACAGTTAGTAGCTATTGTAATGGGCTGAGCAAGTCACTAAACCTCCTTACACCTCGGTTTTCTCGTCTATAAAGGAGAAGGTTGGACTAGGTCCCTTCTAGCCCCAACTCTATGATCCAATGATCAAGGAAAGAGATAATGGGGTCTTGAACTAGGGTGGAGGTTATGTGAGTAGAGAGAATGGGATGTATGTAAGAGATAAGGAGGTAGAATTGACAAGACTTAACAACTGAATAGCTATGGAGTGTGGGGAAGAATGACAAGTCAAGGCAACCTCCCAGGTCACAAATTTGGCTACCTGGAATGACAGTAGTGCCCTCAATAGAAATGGGAAAGTTAGGAAGAGGGGTGGGTTTAGGGGAAAACATAATGATCTATTTTGAACATATCAAGTTTGTCAGTTTCTGCTCAGGTAGGAGTTGGACAAAATGGCCCTTGAGGGCCCTTCTAGGTGTCAAATTCTACCCTACCACTCTACTGAATGAGGAATCTCAGAACTGCTGACATATCTGAAGTGCTCTTTCTAATTGACATCCATGATGCTGGCTTGCTCAGTTGATTTTTTTGGTCTTTTTTTTTTTGGGGTAAGGCAATTGGGGTTAAGTGACTTGCCCAAGGTCACACAGCTAGTATGTGTCAAGTATTTGGTCTGAGGCCGGATTTGAACTCAGGTCCTCCTGACTTCAGGGCCGGCACTCTATCCATTGCGCCACCTAGCTGCCCCTTGCTCAGTTGATTTGATCTGGGGCTTAGGGATTGCTTTGGGGAAGTAGGATTTGGTTCGGCATGGTGTTTTAAGTTCTAGCCATGGGCCCAAGAATGGGTTAAAGATCCAGGTCCTGTTAGGTGGACAGCCAAAAGCAATGGGAATTGGCTAAATTATCCAGAGAATTCAAGCAGAAAACCAAAACAAAACATTTTTGCTTCAGTTAGTTGAATATTTCAGATGCAGTTAGCTTTTAATTAATCAAACAACCAACAGCATTGAGGTCTAAATTATTTGGTTATTTTCCTCAATCTTACCATTGGATCAAGCTTTCAAGGGGCAAATGAAGCAAAGAAAGTGTGACTTTGTCAATGCAGTGCCCAACTCTAAGAGGGAAATGGAATCCGTCCTTCAGTGATCCATTGCCAAATATTTGGATATTTGGTTTCATGTGGTAAAATAGTCTGTTGAGTGAAAACAGCATGGTGCAGTGGCAAAAACACTGGTTTGGGAGTTGAGTCAAATTCTACCTGTTATATTTACTACCTGTACAACCTTGGGCAAATTACTTGCCTCTCTGGACCTCAATAACATGGAAGAATTGTACTAGAAGGCCTTGGACATTCCTCCTAGCTCCAGATTTATGATGGATGGAATTCTTCACTTCATTGTTGGAGTTCCATGAGGATACATCTTGAGACCGCTTTCAGGGAGACAGTGACTAGTGAAGTGGAAAGTTGATGAGTGGAATTGGAGAGACCTGTAAGAGCCAAGTCAGACATAGAGTTGGAGAGATGAAAAGTGCTCAGTATTTGGGAAATCATAGTCCCTCTGTATGCTGTTATGCTCAGATGATATCTAAAGTATCTAAAGTTATCTAAAGTTCTGGGATGCCCCATTTAAAGAGACACATGAATGAGCTGGAGGGCTCCCAAGGAAGGACCAACAGGATAGTAAAAGGCCTCAAAGTCACATCACAGGAGGATCACTTGAAAGAATGCATGAATTTTTAGCCTAGAGGAGAGAACATCACATATGTCACATACGCCAATGTTATGTACTTTGAGTACTTGAAGGCTACTATGTTGAATAGGTAATAATGGCTAAAAGTTGCAGGGGGTTGTCAAGCTTTATACAAGGAAACACCAGCAATTGAAGCCTTTAGGTAAAATGACCACTTATCACACACATTAGAGGGTGTTCATTTTACATATGGGTTGGGCAAAACCAGGGGCTCTTTACCTTTTCTGTGTCATGGACCAGACCAGCAGTCTGGCAAAGTCTATGGACTCAGAATAGTGTTTGTTGTCCACATTCATAATTGGAGGAAATGCTAAATTTCTGTTAGAAATGAAAATAAAGATGAAATTTTTCCCCATTCAAGTTCACAAACTTCCTGAAATGTATTCATGACCCCCTAGGAAAAAGAATGCCTGGACTAAATGGGCCCTGCATTTCCTTCCAGAGTCTGTGATTGTGTCAAAAGAAATAATAAGAGGAATAGAGAATGGGAGGAAAGAGGAGAATGGGGGAGGGGTGGAGAGGAAAGGAAAGGAGAGAGAGATTGAAAGCGATGAAAGGAGAGATGGGAGAGGGTGAGGAGAGTGAAAGATGGAGAGAGATTGAGATTGAGAGAGATGGAGAGATAAAATAAGACAGGAGAGTGAGAGAGAGAGAGAGAGAGAGAGAGAGAGAGAGAGAGAGAGAGAGAGACTCAGGATCCAGGTCAACTACGATTCACCTCTGATTCATACTTGGGACATGCTTATAATGCTTTCCACCACTTTTTCCCCCCACATTCCTTTTTTGCTATCTTGCACAAACTCTTCAAGTTGAGTTAGTTTATATGTCTTCTTTCTTCTCCCCAATCTCTTCCCATTTTGAACTTTGCCCTTATTCTCGGTTGAGGACTGACCTAGGGGGTGTTTGTAGCCAACTGGATTTCATAGCTTCATTGCTGGTCCTCTATCTGGAGCAGATCTTCCCAAGAAGTGGTAAAAGAGACTGGGATCTGTGTTCAAGGGTCACTGTGAGGGATCACTCCTCTGTCCAGAAAAAGGGGTGGCTCACACTTTTCTACCTTGGCCACAGGCCCATGTACACAGGCTTCTGCAGCCTGTGAGAGCCCAGCAGCCAGTTGGAGAGTAGGCGTGGGTGGGTGAGGAGAGCGAATTCTTGAATCCAAGACACATGGATACAAGGTGTGTCCTGGTTTGGCCCAGCTCTGTACAGGGCTGCTTCCTCTCAGCAGATCAGCTCAAACCTCCAATGATGATGATTGCAGTCCCACTGCCCTCCATCTGCTTCATTTCCTGTGCACCCTCCTGTCGGCGAAGAACCACAGCTGCAGGCTTTTCTCCCCTACCCAGACATTGGGCCACAGCGAGAACCATCCAGATGTGGTCAGGATGCATCACTTTGAACTGCCAGAGGGTAACCCTGTGGAGAGGCAGCTCTCTGCCATGCCATCAGGAGGCCTGTACCTCCTCTTTGGGCTCTGCACGGCAGGCACCTTCCCCTCTCTTGGGTACCTGGGGAGAGAGCAGAAGCAGTGGTGTCCCCTCCGCCAGGCACAGTCACTTCCCTGGATGCTGGAGCTTCCGCAGATCCTCAGCTTAAACTCTGAGCAAAGAGCCAAACCAGTACAAGTCTGTACATTGAAGGCCTCAATTTCAGATTAGATTCACAAATTTAATTTCCTATCCCTTAATTTAATTCTGCATTTTAGTTTTGTTTTTATTATTTACACGGGTTCTCTTTAATGAATCCAAATTGCTGCCCTCTAGCAGTATTTTGTCTTAGGTTAACTTCTTGAAAACCGATCAGCATTGGAGTTTATTCCGAACTGGGTTCAGTTATTTTCTGAAATGAAGCACAATTAAATTAGAATAATGAACATGCTCTTTAGAGGATTAATTCATAATAAGCAAGCCATGTGCTACAGCTCACAGAAGAAAGGGCACACGGATCGAAAGCTGTTTTTTTTACGTAAATATGAAAAGTACATTCTGCAGAGCAGAACAAATCAGCTAATGACATCCAGAGCACCGGCCAGGCCCAGAGCGGCATGAAGCTGGCATCTCCCCTCTCACTAATGCACATTGTGTATACACTATGTTGCCTACCTTGGGGAAGGAAAGGCTGGGAGCCACTGAGGATGGAAGGCTCCTCTCCTCAGAATCTAAGTATTAAGCAAAGAGGACTTCCCCAAACCAACACCTCAAAGCTTCTCAAGCAGCCTCCCAGAGAGTTCCCTCCCTAAACCTTACAACCTAGACAGCAAACCCCTCCCCCAACCTTCCCCTCCCTCACTTAGGAACTCACAGCCTAGGATGCAGCCCATCTGCTGTAGTACTACCACCTGCTTCTGTGCTGTACCTCCCCCTCTCTCCTGGGATACCAGGATGGAAGGAAGGAGAGGCCCTTCCTTTCCTCCTGGTCTTCCAGCAACACCAGGGGGAAAAAGTCTAGTTGATGGTAGGATTTGTTGATGGAAGGCTCCAAATGAGAACTAGCTGGTTTTAGATATTTGGTGAAGAATAAGTGTCTCTTTCACACCTCTCCCTCCCTGTCCCCAATTCTAACTACTAATTTACAGAGAAATTGTAAAGATTCTGCTCTGGAGATTACAGTTTGAAGTAGGCAGATGCCAACAGTTGAATGACATAAAGTAAAGATTAGACAAACATATGAATAGTAAATGAATGCTAAAGGAACGAATGATTGAATGATGAAATGCTGAATGAATAAATGCTAAATACTGAAGGAATAAAAGTTGTATGAATGAATTAAGGTTTGAATGAATAAATGATACTAATTAATTAAGACTGAAATCACAATAAATGCTTCATGATTGAATGATAAAGATGAATTAATGAATAATGAATGACTTCATAAATGATTTCTTCACAAATGAATAAGCAATGCATGATGAATGATTTATGGAATGAATAAGTGAATGAACAGATAGCAAGTTCTCCCCCTATACCTTTTGAAGGATATAAAAAAACCTTCCAGCTGCCTCTACCTCAAGGAATTCTATGGTAAAGCCAGGATTCTGTATGTCGGGAGAGCTTGACAGGATGAGAGGGCCTGTCTTGACGCTCAAAATGGGCAGGAGTTAGCCCAGGTCAAATGGTAGGGGAAAGAAGGGAACTTGGGCAGGATGTTGGGAATACTGTGGAAGGAGAAATCAGAGTTGGAAGAGAGAGACCTGGAAGGGATGGTTGGGGGGAAAGGGGGATGAGAGCCACCAATATGAGGAGAACAAAGGGAGTTTCCGTTGACTCTACCAGTCCCATAATACATAGATACCTTTGCATGAAGAGGGTCACTGGCTCTGACATAGGAATGGTCTGCCCAGGGCCACAGTTAAAAGTGTAAGCATTCTTTCTGTGTTGACCTTGTGACTACAGGCTAACTAATTTTCCCACTGCCAAGCTGAGTTCTGTGATGGGAATCCCTGTGAAACCACAGGTCATAGGATTCTTCACTAAAGACTTATAACAGATAGACTAGTCTAACTCATGACAGAGTTCAGTTCTGCTGCATGAAGTGCTGACATGGTTCATAGGTTATTATTATTGTTATTTTCTTTTTAATAGAAAACCATCACCTGGGCCACGAGCAATGTCCATGAGAATGGATACAGTCTTTACCTCTGGCTCTCAGTCTCTTCTTTAGGAGCCTAAACCCTGGGCAAGATCCCTGGAGTAGGGGTGGAGGTGTGTGTGTGTGTGTGTGTGTGTGTGTGTGTGTGTGTGTGTGTGTGAGAGAGAGAGAAAGAGAGAGAGAGAGAGAGAGAGAGAGAGAGAGAAATCTCAGTGAAGAGCTGCTGTGTAGACACTTTCATGGTATGGGCCTGAGCCCTTAGACATGGCAAGCAGACAAAAATTGCTAGATTCACAGTCAGAAGAATTGGGTTTGAACCTTGGCTTTGTCTCTTACCACCTGTATGACCTCAGGCAAATCACTTAAACATCCTAGACCTCAATTTTCTTATTAATAAAGTGAGAGGACTGGTTCTTAACCTAAGGTTTGTGAACTTGTTAAAAAAATGTTTTTTGATAGCTCTATTTCAATCTATTTGGTTTCCTTTATAATCCTATGTATTTTGTTCATTTAAAATAATTAGAAGGGGTTCATAGGCTTCATTGGACTGTCAACAAAGAGGTCAATGACAACAAAAAGGTTAAGGACCCCTGGACCAAATTCTCTTCTGGCTTTAGATCCAGTGATAAAGGACAGATGTGTCACATTACCTATAGCCCTAGGGCAGGGATTTGATCAGTTCTAAGGCATAGGGGATGGTGACCCTACTCTGGACCCATGGGGCAACAGGATGAAGAAAAGATGTCTCACTTTAAAAGACTACTTAGCTCAGAGGATTCACACACAGAGATGACATTTTATTTCTGATTTTTAAACCGAGACTCTTGGGTGCTGAAAACTGAAGAGATTTTTGTGGAGCCCTGCCCTACATCTCTAGACCCTTTCTTTTCTCCTTGGGGAGTCTTCAGGGTCTGAGGTGACCATCTTCTCAAACCTGAGGGCCAGAGGATTCAACAAAGCAAGGCAGACCTGAGGGCCTGAAAATCCCTCAGGCCTGGAATGTAATCAGACAAGACAGGCTAATCAATGAAAGCAGACCCCATGCTCCCTCCATAATTGCATTCCTGCCTTTTTACCCTAACAGCAAGCACTTAGAGTAATTGCATTCCAATAAGGCTCTCTCAGGTCTCCAGCAGCCATGACAAGAACAGCACTGAAACCTGTTGACACACCATCTGCATCCAGAGAGGCCACCGAGACCCAGGACAAGCTGTTTTAAATTCCTCTCAGTTGCCTTTGCTACAGGAGACAATGGACTTTGTAACCGATCTTACCCAATGGCCCACATTCTCGTCCCACCCACTGGCCTGAGCCCTGAAGCCACAGCAGCTCTCTGCTGGAGCTGTCTTTCTGAGGTCAAAACAGTGGCATCTGTTAGCCAAAGCAGGTGGCCCCTTTGGGAATGCCTTACCTTTTTCATGGCCCAGCAAAGCCAAGCTGGGCCAAACCAGCTCAGGAGGTGGAATTGCAAAGTGATTTGAGTGGGTAAATGTCTAACTACATTTACATATTAAGGGTATTATTTGATGCCTTCCTGAAAGGCTTCTCCCTTACACGCCATGTCTAAGGAAAAGCAGAGTAGGTTCCCAATATCTGAGGAAGCCTTATAGATCTAAGAAAGTAGCACCTCCTAAAATACAGTCTTTTAAAAAGGCCTGAGCATTCTCCAGAGAGTATAGAGTTGATGGGATTAACTGGGAAAAATTCTCAACATGTGATTTGAGGTTCTTTTAAAAATTATCTTTTTTATTATGAACTCAATCGTCAACAAACATAAGCATTTAAATATTAAAAAAAAAGACAAGAAAGAGACCTGTATAAGAAACTGTGAACGTCTGACAGAAGTAAACAAACAAAAGTAAAGAAGGGGATTTGAGATTCCTTAATTCCCAAACAATGACCTGGGTTCAAATTCCATCTGTGACACTAGTTGGGTGACATTGAGCAAGTCACTTTTTGTTGTTGTTTTTAGCTTAGTAAGATATTCCAGAGATGTAGTTTGAGTGGGATGTACTAACCGGATGAAAGAAACCCCTGTAGGAAGTGGTCTGGCTAAAGTACAGGTGCTTTTATCTTCTATTTCCACTGGCTTGTTTCTGAGAAAATCACTTAACCTCTCTGGGCCTCAGTTTTCTCTTCTGTTTAAATGAGAGTACTGGATTAGGCCTCTATAATTCCATTCAGATCTGAAGCTATGATCCTATTATCCTTTCCCCCAACCAAAGGATGGAACTTTGAGAAGGTAGAGAGGCAGGATGATGTGTGATAGCCAATTCACAATCATCTACCTTAGATCCATGTTCTGTCCCCAGTGTCTGCAGCTGTTTTCCTGCTGAGCAACCCGAGTCTTCTGGTAGGGCCCCTCCTTCTCTCTCCCTGGTTTGATCAGGGACACACCAGAGTGGAGGTGGGTTTTGATGATCCTTTCTGAGCACCCTTTTTCTCCTGTTCTGATAAAATGGATCACTAGGGTATGGAAACTCATTTCTCACTGAAAGGAGGGACAAAAACTTGGAGTCTAGAGTGCTGCATTTGTAGCTCAGTATGGCCCTATCTTTCCCCCAGTTTGTGAAGTGCCAAAGTCCCCCCTCCTCCTTTTTTCCCTTCTATTTCAATTAGTGGAAAAGGCTGCTTTATCTTTGGGCTGTTTTCCCATTCCAGTTTTGTGTATCAGCACCAACTCTTTCACCTGCGTTTCACCATCCCAGTTCTTTTCTCCATCAGAGGGACAACAAAAAGTGGGTAATTTTTTTGGAAAGGACACTATTTTTCAAAGGGCCTGGATAGTTCCTTAAAGTTAAACATTGGTGAACAGGTTGGTTTCAGAGAATGTAGCATTTGGGACAGAGATACACACAACTATGTACATCACCCTGTTCCTCTCTTTTCTCCTTGGGCAGACTCTATAGAGCTTATACCTAATGGGTGAGGGCATCAGTGAGAGTTAAGGGGCAGGCTTAAGTATACTTGCCTTCTACGAGTAAGATTATAGTCTCTTCCTTATTTTGAAATCAAGATATGATGGATTTCTAAAACTGGCATACAGGAAGACCAGGGATTCCCAGTCTTTTTCAGTCACTTTGGGTTTTGGTAAACATTCCCATACCTTCTTTTAATAGGAAAGGAAATAAATTCTTGAGTTAACCATGCATGTGCATATAGGAAATACATTTTTCTCCTAAAGATTATTTTTTCCTAAAGAAAAATGTATTTGCTATGGAACAACTTTTGAAAGCATCATAAAGTTATTG